CCCATTAAATAAAAAATAGGACGTCGAACTGTATTTCTACTATTCTTTTGGATTAATTGATGATAATCATTATTATGATTATTTGTTCCTTGAAGCATTTGTACATCATTTGATAAGTGCAACTTTTGTTTTAAATTTGTTATATGTTGAAAAACTTTATATATCTGCAAAATTATATTATAAAAAAAGGCGAAATGGATTTAGAAAACTTGTAGAATTCTGTAAATGTACAAACAAGCAGTTTATAAAGATAATTTTAGTCAGCCTCATTGTTAGTGCTGATCGTTGCATATAGTTGTCTGCGATTTTAACCAACTGTCTGTCTTCCTTAGAGTGGTCACCATCATAAACTAACATAGGCTAGAGCATTATTAAAAACTAGGCAACATTGGACAACTGTTTTATTGGAATTTAGGATTTTTCGACAGTGTAGGCTCACAATTAAAAACTTTCACATCTTTCGGCATAAATAGTAAGAATGGGAAGTTGGAATCTGTGGAACCAAAGAAATAAGGGTTCTAATAGTAACGCACTGTTAACCGTAAATGATTTGCTAGATACGTGTTAAACATTTTCAGTCTGATTTATTTCTGTTATCGTTTTGTCTGTAGTAGTATAAGTTTTATGAAAAAAATTCTCTACGACTGTCGGTATACCTTAATTTTTGGTGCTCGTAACATTTTATACTCTACATTTTATATTCATTTTAAGATATTTATTCCGAATTTGAATTTATAATTTTGCCCTCTTTATTGGATGAAGTAAAAAGAACTACCTTTCTGACACAATAAACTCATTATTTGTTACTAAAATAATTGCTTAGAATGTAGTGCATTGAAAAGTAATATGAAACTCATATTAACTACTTACCTTTTCATTCATTGATTTTAATAACATAATTGCCTTCTTATTAATCTCTTCGTCATGATTTCCTACTAGTTCGGCAACTCGTAACCACGTCTGAGTAGAATGACAAGCAGCCAATTCAGTACTTCTCATATCTAAACCATATTCTATTTGTTCTAGATAACTTGGATCTACTCCTACATCACTTAATAAAACATTTAATCCAAATATTGGTTGTAATGCTCTTGTGAAATAAGGTAGAGTAGACAAAGTACGGGAGGAATAAGCATTTTCTAGATTCCATTGAATATATACTAAAAGGTAACAATAACAGACAATATCAGCATAAGAAATAGGTAGGTATCTATCCCAAGTTTACTTTTTGTGTTATACTACTCATAAGTAGCTGAGTTTTATGGTTTAAGGTTATCATGAAATTGACAAGGTTTTAATAAGATATATTTGTTACTTGCTATGCTAAGGTTTATCTTGAGATTTTTACATTTATAAAAATGAAATATTGAAAAGTGATTAGGTATTTTATAAACACTTTCATGCACGATAATGCTCTGTTTAAATGAATCTATTCTACAATAAATGTTACACTATAATGTTACCTTTAAGATGCATGATATGCATATTTTCATATTGGTTTTAATTTGAGATACACTGTAGGGTTTTAGAATGTCCTACGCATATATTAGAAAGCTATTTAAACTATTTTATTAGTAATAGAGAATATTTTTGAAAGACATTATTATGGAAATATTGATATACTAAACCGTCTTGTGTAATTAATCTCTAATTCTTCATGAACATTAAAAGTCATTAAGAGATCTAATTATTATTGACTTCGTAAAATATTGAATACATGTATTCAGTCAGTATTCTAAAAGCAAATGTATTATTTTGCTACAATTTTGTACACCACAGTGTTTTTTTGTTCGGAACTACAAAGATAGAAGATTCGATCTTGTTCAAGTAGCAGAAAGCGATCCTTCATCTGTTATAAACCTATATATAAGTTTACTTAGAAATAAAGAAAGAACAAGTATGTAATTTTAAAACGTCATTAAATAATCTTTAAATTAAAACCAATTAGCTTTGTGTAGTAGATTTTTAAAACTTTAGTTATCAGGATACAAAAATAGTACTAAACAGATGATGAATAAGATAACTTTTTCCATCAACTTTAGCTTTCTTTTCAACTGTGCAGTAGTAGCCTAATTCAAATAAAGTACATAAACAGTAGAAGAAAATTTCACTAGCTCAGAACACATGAATAAATATTTAAAATGTTCATCATTCAATACAATTATCCCAAAAGTTTATACAACATATCATTAGACAGTGGTTTTTACTCAGTGATCAATCAGTGTGACTTTCAGTGATGCATGAGGTAAGTCAAGAACATAACACTTCGATGGTATTATCTCTGCGTGTGGTGCTGCATGACATGAATTTGAATCCTATTGTAATTATAAGTTCTGTTAAAATCTTACATACATCCGACTAATCAGTTTAGACTGATAGTACCTTTAGGTCGATCTGATATTTCTATAAAATGGCCTCAGCAATAAATAAGTAATCTACATCATTCCTGTTTTGTTAAGTTAAATTCTTGTAAATACTTTATGCTTACGTTAGTTTTATTATAAGCTATATAAAAACCTTTTTTTAAAGCCAATAGTAATTGTGATTATCAGCGAATTATATATGCACAGATAAAATTAATATATAATGTTTCACTAACATTGTCCAGCTAAATAAGAAAGTAGTTGTATAAAATAAACATTAAATTGTTTTAACTGATCTCGATTATGCTGATCTGATAAACGATTTGATAAAACAGTGGATTCCATTCTTTCAGAAAGTTTTAGACGTAAATTTAAATGGGTCAGGGGAATAGTAGATAATTCAGAACCATTCACTTGAAGGTCCAACACATCTTCTATAAAATGGTCGATTACTGCGGATTAAACAAAAGAAAAGAAAGTGTAAACAAATTGAATGCTTGCAAAAAATATTATTTTTTGTTTCAAAACTTCCAACATATTGTAACTATAAACACTAACAACTTAATTCAGATTTATAAAGCTTGACGCTCATATGGATAGATATTTTGTCCACAATCTACATTTTGTAATAGGTCTTCTGTAGCTGTTAGAGGTATGAGGGAGGTTATCACTATTATTATTATTAATTACTATACAAACCATCTGAAGTGAGATTCCTTTTTATTTATTCCAGCATAGAAAATTAAAAATAACATTATGTATGATGTAGTAACTACAAACTGGTAGACGAAAGACTTAAAGATTTTTGGCACTTTTAGGAATTTCAGTTAACTGGGTTCCAAGTTCCATTGACTGTAGATTATATACGTAAAACTTGACGTGCGTAAGGTGTTAATTTAGAATTGCTACCTCAAATATCAATAATAATAATAATTCGATGCATTAGTGTTAATAGACTAATGAATATACTTTTAGTTGATTAGTCACAAACAAAATATATGCTCATTCTGAATAAAATAGAAATTATTCAATAAAATACAAGTTACTGTTAAGGAGCTAGACGCTCTTTCCTATAAATGAATACTTAAAATTTGTGTATACGTTGAGGAATAAAGTGTTTTAGGTATAAGCTTATATAGTAACAATGCAAAAAAAAAACTATTCCCAAATTTGTTAACATAAATCTGAATATTTCTTACCTCCGTTAGCCATATCTTTCGACCATCTAGGAACCACATCCTTTTCATAAAATCTTAGTAAAGTTTCACGAAATGCATCACGGTCAAAAATGATTTGTGGTGAAGATATATCATCTGACAAATTTACAGTGTTATTATTTTCTACAGGCCAAATTAACTTCGAAAGAAAACACGTAAACCTTAAAGTAGAGTATGGTTTTCCATCCCCACAAACTTTCAATAAATAGTTAGATTCAGCTATTTGTAAATCATCAATAATTCCCTGACAGAGGCTCTCAACTTCATTAAAGAATTCTACCTATAAAAGTAATAATAAGGATTTTTTTTCACATATTCTCAATTTAATTTTTCACTAACGTGGGATAAGTATCTTTCTTTATCAAAAGTTTAGACGCATATTTGTTTGTTACAAAATAAAGTCACTTCACAATAAAAATAGGATTTTTGACCTACTGAATATATATATCAAAAAATGTTTATGTCGGTTTTCATATTTAGGAAGATGTTTCCTATTTTTCATTATTTCCGCATCATAAATTAATATTTCTTTAAGTTCTTTTGCAAAATAATTTCAAAGTTCAGAGAATTTCAGTTCATAGGATTGTTTAGTCTCATGGTAAAGAACTCATACGGAACAAAGTACATTACATACAAAAATTGATCTATTAATATAGATTATTAATATTATTAATCTTAATTCAAATTCGAATATAAGTAATAATTACTCTGAAAAGATTGGGAAAATATCTTTTTGATGAGTGCCAACTAACAAAGACGTTATGCTGAAAATTTTTAATTCTTTGTGTTATATATTTACTAATTCAGAAATTTCCAAATGGCTGCATCAGAAACAAAATTTTGTTCGCAATAGTTCTTAAGGGTGATATCGTTTTCAACGTTTACATTACTTAGACAATTGAACTATGTATCCGTATAAGTAGTATATCTACACATTTGAATAGTTTTAAATGTGGTACATATTGTAACGGTTGTCGTAATTGATTGATCTTATTAGTATTACTTAATAATCACTACCGTAATTTGATCACTGATACGACTTGAACAAATGTGTATCGTCTTAGATCACTTACTTACGCCTGTTACTCCCAATGGAGCACAGGCAGCCGACAAGCATTCTCCATCCCACTCTATCCTGGAGCTTCCTTTCTACTTTTATCTAATTATTGTTCATTTCTCTCATGTCTGTCCCCGTTTCTCCGTGTGATGTGTTCCTTGGTCATCCTCGTCTCCTTTGACCTTGAGGATTCCATGTGAAAACTTGCCTTGTAACACAGTTGGGTGCTTTCTTAAGTGTGTATCCTATCCACATCCAGCGCTTCTTCCTGACTTCTTACTCTGCTGGAATCCGGTTTGTTTTCTCTCATAGTAAGTTGTTGCCAATAGTGTCTCGCCAACGGATCAGAAGTTTTTTGCGTAGACAACTGTTAATAAACACCTGTATCTTCTGGATGATGGCTTTCGTAGTTCTCCAAGTTTCCGCCTCATACAGTAGAACTGTCTTGAAATGTGTATTGAAAATCCTTATCTTGGTGTTGATTGACAGTTGCTTTGTGTTTCAGATGTTCTTCAGTTGTAAATATGCTGCTCTTGCCTTACCGATCCGCGCTTTCACATCTGCATCAGATCTGTCATGTTCACCAATGATGCTGCCCAAATATGTATGGGTTTCTACATCTTCCAAATCTTCTCCGTCAATTGTGATTGGATCGGTGCATGCTGTGTTGTATCGGAGAACCTTGCTCTTCCCTTTGTGTATATTGAGACCTACTGCTGCTGAGGCTGCTGCTACACTGTTCGTCTTCTCCTGCATTTGTTGTTGCGTTTGGGATAGAAGGGCCAGATCATCTGCGAAGTCCAGATCGTCCAACTGCATCCTAGATGTCCATTTTATCCTGTGCTTCCCTTCACATGTTGACGTCTTCATGATCCAGTCGATCACCAGGAGAAAGAGAAAGGGTGAGAGTAAGCAACCATGCCTGACACTGGTCTTCACTTCGAACGACTTTGCCAACTGTCCTTCATGCACGATTTTGCAGTGTAATCAATCATATGAACTCTGTATGATATTGACTATATTTTGAGGCACGCCGTAGTGTCGAAGAAGCTTCCATAGTGTTGTTCTGTCCACACTATTAAATGCCTTTTCGTAGTCAATGAAGTTGATGTAGAGTGATGAATTCCATTCAATTGATTGTTCCACAATGATCCGTAGAGTTGCGATTTGATCTGTACACGATCTATCCCTACGGAATCCTGACTGTTGGTCACGAAGTTGGGCGTCTACGGTGTCCTTCAACCTGTTTAACAATACCCTGTTGAAGACTTTTCCCGGTATTGAGAGAAGAGTGATGCCCCTGTAGTTATCACAGTTACTGAGATCGCCTTTTTTCGGTATTTTGATCAGAAGTCCTTCTTTCCAGTCTTTTGGTACTTGTTCCTCATCCCAAATCTTATTGAAGAGAATGTGGAGTATCGTTGCAGTTGCCGCTACGTTTGCTTTTAGTGCCTCTGCTGGAATGTTGTCTGTTCCTGCTGCTTTGCCACTCTTGATTTGTCTGATGGCCATGCTGATTTCTTCAATTGTTGGTGGGCCAACGTTGATTGGGAGGTCCGTGGGTGCTGCTTCGATGTTGGGTGGGTTCAGTGGAGCTGGTCGATTCAAGAGTTCTTTGAGGTGTTCTACCCACCTGTTTCGTTGCTCTTCAATGTTCGTGATTACCTCGCCTTCCTTGCTTTTCACTGGTCGCTCTGGTTTGCGGCGATTTCCAGAGAGTTTCTTTGTCGTGTCATACAGTTGTCTCATGTTCCCTTCTCTTGCAGCCTTTTCCGCCGTCTTTGTTAGATCTTCCACGTGTTTACGTTTGTTGGTTCTGATGCTCTTCTTTACTTGTTTGTTTACTACTGTGTATTCAGCTTGTGCCTTGGCTTTTTCTGCTCTTGTTCGACTGGTATTGATTGCTGCCTTCTTGTTACTCCTTTCTTGAATATTATCCAGTGTATCAACAGTGATCCATTCCTTGTGATGGTGCTTCTTGTGACCCAGGACCTCATGACATGTTGAAGTGATTGCCTCTTTGATCGCCTTCCAGTTGCTCTCCACAGTAGTTCCTTCTCCATTGAGTAGATCGTGAAAGGCCTGGAACTTATTGCTGAGGACTATCTTGAATTTGTTGAGTTTGTTAGTATCCTGAAGAAAGGCCGTATTGAACTTTTGTGATATTGTTCGCCCCATTGTCCAGTGCTTTTTGAGTTTCAATTTCATCTTGGCGACCAGCAAGTGAAGATCTGATGCTATATCAGCTCCTCTCTTGATTCTCACGTCCTCTATAGTCCTCCTGAACGTTTTGTTGATGCAGATATGGTCAATTTGGTTTTGTGTGGTGTGATCCGGTGAAGTCCATGTGGTTTTGTGAATGCGTTTGTGTGGGAATATGGTGCCGCCTATGACCAGTTTATTGAAGGCATATAGGTTTGCGAATCTCTCACCATTTTCGTTTCATTCTCCCAGTCCGTGCCGTCCCATGATTTCTTCATATCCGGGGTTCCAACCTTGGCATTTGAGTCTCTCGTCAGAATGAACAGGTCCTTTGTTGGGTACTTCTCGACAATGGACTGCAGCCTATTGTAGAATTGATCTTCAACTTCCTCATTGTAGTCGTTGGTAGGCGCATAGCATTGGATGATGTTCATTGTAATGCCCTCTTTCTTTGTTTTGAAGGAGGCTTTGATGATCCTTGGTCCATGAGATTCTTATCCTATAAGTGCATTTTGTGCTTGTTTGGACAGCATCAATGCAACTTCTTGTGTATGTGGGAATCTTCTTCTTCATGGCTGGAGTATAACAGAAGATTTCCTGAATCTACTCGTTGTTGTCCAACTTGCGTCCAATGTGTTTCACTGATCCCAAGCACCTCTAGGTTGCATCTCCTCATTTCTGCAGCAATTTGAAAGGCTCTCCCGATCTCCCACATTGTACGAGCATTTCATGTACCTAAACAAATGATTGCTCTAGTTGTCAGAAGAGGCACCAACCTCGTGACGTCCGAAGGAACTCGGCTTTCATCATGAGGCATCATTACTCTTCTAAATAAAGACCTAACTCCCAGTGCAGAGTTTAAATGGTATGAATAACTTCTTCTGGTTAGTGTTTTTTAGCGAGTTAGTTTTCTACGGGATTGGGCCGCTAATACTATGCCCAACCCTCCTTCTTTATCCGGGCTTGGGACCGGCAGTATCCTCCGGAAGGGCCCTAGAAGGAGTTTCTTGGACCATTATATCTATATAAAGATTGCTCAATCCGTAATAATAATATAAATCGTTGTGATATACTAAACATAATATCATGCACAAAAAGAGAATGAAACCAAATAATGTCATGTATGAAATAGTATTGTACTCATGATTTGGAGCAAGATAAATATATGAATGCTTCTGTGCCATTGTAAACAATGAGGGCTACGTTTTTCAACAATCATTTACTTTTCAAAAGCGTATAATAATAACAGACTACTTCATAGATTGATGCATATGCCGTAATCGAAGAGAATATATCCTTTCTCAAATCTACTTTAATGTCAGTTGGTGTAACACCTGGGAGGAAGCCATAGCTTTTGTTGCCTAACGAATATCCTAAGCACCTAAACTACTTGTGTTTCAGGCCTTTATTAGTAATTTTCTCCTTTTGTCATTACGTTAAGCTTAATCTCAAAGATCCTCAATCGTCAGTCCCAGAGTACACAAGCAATAAGTTCAATTCATCTATGATGAAATACAAGCAATCTATGTATATAGTTAACCTTTGAAGTTTAAGTTTCGCAGTTTTCAAGTCAAGAAACGATAAGAGCCTTTTTTGATCATTTTTCATCCCATATATTAATGGGTTACTTAAACTACATGCTTTAAAGAATATAAAAATGTTGAAGCCATTCACTTGTTTTAAAAACAAGTCCAACTAATGTTCGTCAGTAAACGTTCTAAGTATATTGTGTTTTTTTTTTAGATTCTTAAAAATAAGTGCAGTCCAGTATGAAATATGATCCGTTTTTAGTAATCACCTATTGATTATTTATACTTAAATCAAATGTAATAATATATATATATTTTTCTCACTGTCAATTTTAATCTCTCATTGTTTACATTTGTCTTTGTAAAGACAAACAACAACAAATTAGTTGCATTACATGGAATTATTGATTTCGACCATAGAGAATGCGTAACAGATGGTGCACTATTTTCACGTATATGTTTGCCTAGTGTATTTGTATGCATGTTTGTGTATTTTTGTTACTCAATATGAAAGAGCAATAATTTAGGTAAAGAGATAAAACAAAAATCTAAATCACATGTAAAAATCATTGTAATTTAAAAAAAGTAATTTCATATATATATATATATATATATATATATATATATATATATATATATATATATATATGGAGATTTGCAGTTAAGCTGAATATTTTCGTTGGTGTATTGTTCTCTGAGATGGAAAGTCTAATCTTGAGAAAATATGGAACGCTTCACGCTAACTTGTGGACCGGTGAGTTGGACGAAGCATCAAACGTAACCGATAGAACAATGATATATGAAATAATTGACAGTCGGCCCGATACATAAATCAGTTTTTTAATCATGTATATTAGGTTTTGAAAAATTGTGATCAGCATTTTTACTTTCTTATGATAGATACGTTTTAGGTGTAAATTTATATTTGTTTCGAACATTTCTGGCACATTTTTTTAGTTAGGACCATCATATTAGTATCAATACAGTTTGAAAAGTCCGAATTGAAGGTTTCTAGATAAAGACTGGTCACAATTTAAGGCGATGTTTTCATTTCTGTCAAATGGACAGCGCATCAAACAAATTAGTTGACCTACGTGACCATTCTGACAACTGTTAATTACTTAGTGTATAATATTGTTTTCTTGGATGTACGATAGAGCCACGAAGACAAGAACCTAATATTGAAAGTAGTAATATACCTAAAAATTAAATATAGATGGTCATCATAGTTTAAAAATATTACTGACCTGCTCTAATAAAGGCAAGGTAGACCAAGCTGAATGAACTGAGTTACGCACTGAACTCAATGATCCATTGTGTGTATAGTTGTTTATTGTTTTGTCAGAAACATCAGAAACAGACGACTGAGCTGATAATAATGTTTGTGAGCTGCTTACATACAAGTGATCAGGATATACTTTGTCAAGTAAACGTATGGTATAGTTCAAATGCCATATCAATGCTAAATCTAATTGCTTCCAACCTGTAGTTTTGATAATCTGATCACTATCACATGTATAAATATCTGTCTCTTTAAAAACTCTAACCGAATGGGAAGAACCTGATATAGATGATGTTGACCCGTCTTCAATATAACCATCAAACGATTTTTCTGGTTCATCTAAAAACGCCAATGATTCCCATAAGGATTTTAGAGTGTTTTTTTCGTCAATATTTTTCTCCATTTGTTTTACTGGTGAAGAAATAATGGACTTCGGATTTTGAGATTTATTTGAAACGTAAAGTTGATTAAACCAACATGAATTGTTCTCTAATTGTGTAACTAGGTTTGTAATAGCCTTATCCAAATCCTAAAATTTAATTGATGTAATCAATAATCATTAATTTTAATTGAATAATACCGGCAAGAAATAACAATTATAATCAAAATATAATAAAATGTTAAGTCATTTTCATCTTCCATCAATAATGTGACTTTGTATTTTAGAAATACAAGAACAATTTATTATTAATATTATTTCAGTAGGTTTAAAGAAATTTATAATTGAACATCTGAATGACAAGATAAATACTTTTATGGCTTAAAAATATTCCATATTATTGTAAATTTATTGCAATTCTCGATGAATATTAAGTACAATACATTCCATTTTAATTCATTTACTAGACTGACGTAATCTGCTTTGAACTACATTTTGTATGGTTTATTGATAAGTACTATTTGTTTACTAAAACTGATTTTTGGTGAAGTAGAGTTTTAATCAATTTATATCAAACCATTTCAACTACTAAGCTATTTATTACCTTGTAGATCTAATTGTGACACTGCAGAGTACAAATTTATATTATTTTTAAAATATATCAGTCTGTTCATTCAACAAAGTGTATGTATATATGTTATAACATGTGGCCTCGTGCCCTATTAACATATAACGTAATGACACCGCCACTTATCGACCGGATCAATGACCCATAAAACCCGTACGAACAGTATACAG